CAGGCCGCCACACCCCTCCCGCGGCCCGCCAAAATTCACTCCACGGGCCCGGGCGCCACGCGGAAGGCCGCACGTGGGCATCAGCCGCATGGCTTCCAGCCCCGGAGGCACGAGGAAGGAGAAGAGAAAAGGCCTTGGGCCGCGCGCCCCGGTCCTGGCTACCGCGGGCTTGGGCCGTCGACCCGAGGCCCTCACCTTCAGCACCAAGTCGGCCAGGTAGACGGCAGTCCAGCCGCCCACCACCACCACCACCAGAGNGGAGGAAAGGCGAGCTCCGGCGTCCTCCTCCCTGCGAGCCGTGCAAGCCGCCGAACGCGCGGCGCCTACAACCACACCATCCGCGCAGGAACAAACCTGCTACCGGCTCCTTTCTCGCGGTGGCGCCGTTTCCCTCCGGCCTTTTCCGGTCGAACACGGACGGACGCATGCGCGCCGGAACAAAGACGTGGGGGTTTATTTTTGTGGGGCACTTGGGCGCCGTCGTCCCAGTGTCGGTTGGGCTGCTGCCGCAGGCCCTCTAGCGATTTCTTAGGCTTTGTCCCTCCCTGCTGTCGGCTCCTCGTTCTCTCAGGTTCTGGTCTCGGGTTTACTGTTGCTTTTTAATCTAGTGAGAGTTTGGAGTCACCAGAAGTAATTATCGTCCGCACATCCCAGATCTTGTTGTAGGTATTCAGGTTTAAGTTAATTACCTTCATTTGTTCTTTTTATTGCAGTGTAATTTACATAAAGCGAAATCATAATACAGAAATCAACTGTCCATTTCGTTGAGTTCTAATAACTATTTGTATACCCTAATCAATATAAAGAACATTTCCATCTCAGGAATTTCCTTCATGGTCAATCCCCTCCTCCCTTCTTTATGTAAATAGAATCTACAATAGGCTCTCTTTCGTGTATGGTTTATTTTGCTCAACAAAATACAGGGTGGGGCAAAAGTAGGTTTACAGTTGTTGCTATGGAAAATAATACAATAATAAATAATAATATGCGGATAAACTGTTTCCCCTACTCAGAACTGTAAAGCTCTGAAAACCAATTAGAAGTTACCCTTATGTAAGAGATATTTATATTCCTAAAGGGAACCTTCACTTGCAAAGGTATCTACCTCTCTGTAACAGGAAGAGCAGAATGAATAAATCTCTAGAAACACTTATCAATGGAGAAGGCAAAGATTTAAACATGCAGAACAACCTTACCCTTGTTTACTGTGCTTTTCCTGGTCATATCCCATAACTGAAGATAGTATTTAAGGTGGTGGCTTTAGTAGCCATTTTGTAGACCTACTCAGTTTTCATGGATCTACAGGTTATTGAACTTTTTTTTCCTTCAAATCCTCACTCGAGGATATGTTGTGTGTGTTTTTGTTCTGTTATTTTTTTAGAAAGGAAGGGACGGGAGGGGGAGGGAGAAACATCAATGTGAGAAAGAAACATTGATTGGTTGTCCCCCATACTCACCCTGACTTAGGATCAAACCTGAAACCTGGGTATGTGCCTGCTAGGGGAATTGAACCTGCCACCTTTGGGTGCACAGAACGACGCTCCAACCAACTGAACCACACCCGCCAGAGCAGGTTTTTGTGGAATTTTTTGTTTTTGTTTTTTAATTCCACAGGAACTGTTGTTAAGCCCTATTGCTATAGGTCCTAAACTTGACATTTTTTTTTAAAAAACCCCTCATCCTAGAATTTCATATTTATTCTTATTAAAGTCCATTTAAAATTTATTTTTAAAGTTCTGTAGTTTAGAGCAATTAAATCAGAATCTCAGCATGGGACCCAAGCATTAGTAATTTTTTGAGGTCCTTAGATCATTCCACTGTGCAGCCAAGATTAAGAACCACTGAATGAGACGGTCTCTAATGGGAGGGAAAACGAATATTTATGAGTGTATTCCTACATTCTCTTAATGTTCAACCTTTAAAAGTTACTTGTTCTAACTTTTCTGGAAAAGCATCATCAATAAAAATACTAATACCCACCCTAGCTGGGTCGCTCAGTTGATTGGAATATCATCCCATACACAAAAGGTTGCAGGTTTGATCCCCAGTCAGGGCGAATATGGGAAGCAATGGATCCATGTTTCTCACATTGATATTTCTCTCTCTCTCTAAAAAAAAGGCATAACATCCAAATATCAAGAGCATAGTATCTTAAGAACAAGTATCCCAAATAGAAATGCACCTTTAAAGCACCCTCTACAGTAAAAATAAAGTGTAATACTAGACCTATATTACAGATATTTCTACTAGTTTGCCTCGCTGTCCATACTTTTCCAAAAGTTTTAATAATTTAGCACCATAACTCTATAGCTTTGAGAAACCTTATGGCTCATTTCCTTGTGTATATGTGTTATTACAAAATGTTCTCAATTATTTTAGACATAGCTGGGTGTAAATTGTAAGAGTTTATATTCAAGCATCCTATGACTTCACAGTTTTCCATGTACAAGTGTCCCAAAAGTCATAGTGCAGTTTTAGGCTTTGATAATTTCAGAAGTATAAATGCTACATACTTACAAAAAGCATCACCTGAATGTTTACTGAAATTTCTTCTACACTTACTCATTTTGTGAATTTTGAATAATTTTAAGTTTCAAAATTTTTAGTTCCTCTCATTGAGGATGGAAACATTGCCTGAAAAAAAAATTGAAATACGTTTACTGTTCAAAAATTTCTAAGATCAAAGAAGCATGAAATAAATTGAAATTACTTTCAAACGATGATTTGTATAAGTTTGTAGAATTTGTACTTGTAGTTTTTTAAACCTAAAACTACATTAAGACTATTGGTACACTATTGTATTTGAACTGACCTTTGCTCTTATATAATTCCTGTAGTTTTTGATACTGTTCTTCCCTGGGAGAAGAATATTAACTTAAGAATTGAAATGTCTTCTCTTTTGTTAGCCTGAAGCCTTGTCTGGACCACTTGCTGGGAAAAGTACCAGCTGCTGTGTGGCTATCTGATTACCCAAAATATGTAGGAAATAAGTTGATTGTGTTTTTCTGTTCCAAACCTAAAAATTTACTTATTCAACTGACTTTGTGTTCTCATCAGGAACCCAGCAGTCAAAACAAAACATTGAATTGAATCCTGCTGGTTTCAGGAATTTATCAGTAGTGGAAGCCAGCTGGTGGCAGCAGAAGAGACAAGATAGAGGATGCAAGATCGCAGCAAAAAAAAAGTCTGAATTCCAGAAGATAAAGGTATTCTTCCTTAGAATACATTTGTGACCTAATTTACAAATCATTTCAGGTTTCTGGCAAGTCAAGTAACTTTTAAGTAAAGGGCACATAGCCAAGCCTTTATTCATATTATTTTTATTTAATATTTTTTAGAGGGGCACCAAATATACATTTTGGCTGAATGCAAAATAGTTACATGTTAAAAATCAAGCCTAGCCCACATGACTCAGTGGTTGAGTTTCAACCCATAAACCTGGAGGTCATGGTTCAATTCCCAGTCAGGGCACATGCCCGGATGGGGAGCTTGATCCTCGGTGGGGGGTGTGCAGGAGGCAGCCGATCAATGATTCTCTCATCATTGATGTTTCTATCTTTCCCTCTCCCTTCCTCTCTCTGAAATCAATAAAAACATATTTTTTAAAAAAATCAATACTTGGCTGAAGCAGAATATCACTATCATAGACTATACCTCTAAGATACCAGAATCACCATGAATATTAAAATTAGATATTATTAATTTAAAAATTATTATTACAGTTTTACTATTAAAATGTTAATATTCAGCTCTAGCCAGGTTGGCTCAGAGATTAGAGTGTTGGCCCTCGGACTGAAGGGTCTCGGTTCGATTCCCAGTCAAGGGCACGTACCTGGGTTGCAGGCTCAATCTCTGGCCCTGGTTAGGGTGCGTGAGGGAGGCAACCAACTGATGTGTCTCCCCCTTCCACTCTCTCTGGAAAAAAAAAGCAATGGAAAAAATATTCTCGGGTGAGGATTAAAAAAAATAAAGTTAATATTCAGATTTTTAAAGTTTGACATTTCATTCAGGAATATTTATTTCTCATCAGTGTAAGCTGGTAGTTTGCTTCTGGGATCATTATACTCTCCATTTATGACACTAAATTACACCAGTCAGGATAAGCTAGGCTATGTTTGGGTAAACAAACCCTAAAATCCCAGTGGCTCAAAAAAACAAAGATTTAGTTCTGTCTGTGCTATGTATCCATTATGGGCTGGCAGACTGATGGAGACTCCAGCATTTTATCATGCTCACGTCTCAAAATGAGGTTCAGGGTTCCTTCACTGCAGCAGAGAAAGAGAGGACTAGATTGTTTACCACTGGTAGCAAAATGCTATGGCCCAGATATTCACAGGTTACTCTCACATTTCATGAGCCCAAAGTAGTCAAATACCTGTGCCTGACTTGAAGGTCATTAGAAGTGTAATCTTCTATACCTAAGAGTAGAGAATATACCTGGAAATAAACAGTAGTGTTATCTCACATAAATAGATGAGCTCTTTTGAAGGGGTTCAAAATAGGTGTCCCCAAGATGTGCTACTTGGCATGTGGATTGATTTGAGCCAAAGGCAATCAAGACTGCAGGCTCAAGAGAACTTTTACCTCTCCCTTAAAGAATTTAAATTAGGGGCCCTGCCCATAGTAAGAGTTATTACCAGAAATAACTTTTTATAACCAGGGCAAATTAATTACTGAACATTTGTTCTTATCTATCTGCAAGTGACTCTCCTCCCTTCTGAAGCCTCAGGGCATCTTACCTCATTCTTAGCCCAGGATGCCATTTATACCTCATTTTACCTTTTTGTCCCTGAAACTCTCACGTATATGGGGTCTCTGAGTTGCTGATGTGTGTGGGGTTCCCATACATACATGTGTAATTAAATTGGGTTATTTTCTCTTGCTAATCTGTCAGATGTCATTATTAGACCAGCTGAAAGAACCTAGAAGGACAGAGGAAAATTTCTTCCTCCCCTACACTTTCACCTACAGAGGGCACAGTAGCAGATAATGTTTGGTTAGTGCTACCATTATGGGATACTGCTATTTTGATGCTGCCACAAAATTATTAAGCTCTCCTTTCTCTTTAATAGGAACCAATTAAAGTAAACATTGATCTCCATTTTGGTTGCTGATGCTGGTGCAGTTTGGTTGAATCAATCCCTCAAATAGAAGCTTCTAGTACCAGTTGAAAAAAATATTTTCTGAATCTTTCTGAAAGTGTTGTCCTCACTTATGTTTTTCATTCCTAATATGTTTGTTTGCCTAAAATTCCTGTTTTACACAGTCACATGAATAAAATTTGTCCTTAAACCTTGGTTTTAAAAATGTGGCTTTCAAGAACCCAATGGTCTTGGTTTTTCCATCTGCATTTCAGTTTCACTTCATGTGCATCATATTAGCATCTTCCTGGAGTAGAATAAGAGAATCTTTTCAGCAGCTATAAAG